TATTATTATTATTATTATTATATGGTATTTATCAAACAACATATGCATGATCACTAAGGCTCTGCAAATTGAACAAACATACAGTAAACCTGCGCCTATGCACAACAAAAATCTGCAGATTTTGCCAAACGGATGACGAAACGCCACTACACATCCTATGTGGTTGTACCCACTCATGCATATACGTAATATCTCCTTTAGAAAGTTTACACTCTATCCTGAGGAGATAAAAACCATCGCTCCTGAGAATATCCTTCAATTCTTGTCTCTGACGGGTCTAGGTAGCGAACTCTGACAAATGGGCGAGCACAATAGATGTAGGTCGCAGTGCTACAGGACACTACATGAAAATAGCTCAACTCCTACAATAAAACAAAATAATGGTATTTTACGTGGTGGGCCGGGTCATTGGGCTCCCTAAAATATGGTCGAGCGCAGTGACGGCTGCCTCATACGTCATACTCGTGAACGAGTGCTGCTTGTAGGGACTGGTCTGCTCTAATCACTATGACGGATTTAATCTTATTGTGCCTAAATAAATTAGTGCTGGTTGGTAGTTTGTATTCACACGTTTCAACTTGTAAAATGTGAACTTACAAGGATTGTTTAAAAGAGCAACACACAAGTTTCTTGCTTATTCTTTTTCTGATGAGACAGTTTTCCGACTGAGCGATATATTTAAAAAAAAAATGTTGACTATTCAAAAGTGCTTAAATTAAGTTTATTTGATAGAAATGATATTCTATTCTATTCCAAGGCTATTATACTTTTTAATATTAATTAATTATTAATTTCGAATAATACCAATTTCCTTAACCTGCGTCAGTAACCATAAAACAATAAAAATAGATCCTGTAGTACAAAATAACTGCTCCAAGGCGAGCGTTAACCTTAAATAATAAACCTTTAGTTGCGCGGTCATGGGATGTCACTTAAGGGAAACTAAAAGGGTTAATGTTTTCCTTCCCTTACAAGGGTATAAAAGGACAGGGGAAGATCAGTTAGACGTTTTTAGGGGTGCAAATTATGTCTTACAAAATATACTACAGGAAATAAAATGTACTTAAGTATATCAAAATTGAGATGCGACAATTGATTTGACGGTCGCAGTGGTGTGGCGGTTTAGCATACTGCTTTACTTCCGATAGTCGCGGGTTTGATTCCTCGCAAGGTACAAACATTTATATTCATGAGTATGGTTGTTTGTATCGGCCTGGGTTTTCTCTTTTTTTTAAATTTATATTAATATCTGCCGCTTCCTTTGTGACAACATCCTTCTGATCTATTTTTTTTTCGTTTAATTATCATGTGTTTCATTGTATGGGTTTTCTCTATGTATGTATTTAAAAAAACTGTTTAAGTATTTGTATCCGTTACAGAATAGCCATAACACGCTCCGCTTACCTTGGGATTAAATGCTTCAGTGTAAATTGTCCAGGTTTATTTTTATTATAATTTTATTTCTATACAATATTAAATGGCCATCTCACGGCCCGCCTGATGGTATAAAATTAAAATGACGTGATCGCAAGGATATCGAATAAATAGCTAGCAAGGGTGCAGTATTATAAATAAAAAATATTTATAAAACCTGATTTACCTCAGTATAACAGTAACTAATGTATATAGGTATACTATTAGGCTAGGGTAACAGTTTACCATCAGATGGGCCGTATGCTTGTTTGCCACCTACAAAAAAAGTTAGTAATATAAGTAACAATTTTATAATCTTAATGTTATAGTAAATAAAGAAAAGAAAAGGTTATTAAAAAGTGAGAGGAAATTTTTAGTAATAGTAGTAGATGGGTTCAATACTCTTCTTCTCTTCTCTTCTCTCTGCGATTCCTCCAAGAGTATACCAGAATGGAAGCCAGTAGAGATAAATACCAAAATACGTAATTCACATACTATCTAACCATGCCTACCGTCAGGTGTGCTACCAGCTTGTTTGGCACAAAAAAAATATGCTTGAATGTAAAAAAAATACAGTTGTATATAAACAGTATTATAAAATTAAATATCAAATTTGACAAATACATTAAGATATTATCGAAATCGGTTTTAAAATTTATAATAATACACAATCGCTCAAGTCACACTTATTAACGTCTAAATAGCGCCATCTATTGGCAAGTAGATATAATACATATAACTTTATATTATCATGTAAATGCCTTTCACCGCTAGATGTCGCTGGCTCCGAAAATTAATATAGATATCAAGGAGGCATAATATAATAAATCTTTAATAATACAATACTAGTGTCAAGCAATAATTCTTTTATTTGAACAAGGTTAATATTAAGTCATGTTTTATCTGTCATCTAAATTCCATTCATCATCCGTAGATGTCATTTTGTGTAAACAGCGTCCAAATATCATTTTTTTATACCACGTAGGTGGCAAACAAGCATACAGCCCATCTGATAGTAAACGATTACCGTAGCCTATGGACGCCTGAAATAGCAGGGGTGTCATGTGCTCGTTGCGGACCCTTAATTATTTTTATTCTTTATTCGTTTCTTTAGAAATATTGAGATTTTATAATTGGAAAAACATACAGAAACAGCTAATGAAGCAAACAAACACGACAGATGACATGGAGCATCCGCCTGCGCTAAAGGTTTTCACTTGCGAGGCACCAGTGAAGGTTGAAGCACATAGGATGTGTAGTGGTATATCCTCTGGAGTTTAGCAAAATTAGCAGATTTTTGTTGAGAACAGGCCTAAGTTTGTTATGTGTGACCCCATATTAACAGACGTTTCGATATAATTTTCGATATTTCGACATAAAAGATTTTTGTGGTTTATGTACGTATCTTTACAATAATTCAGAAATATTGAATATTTCATTATTCTTTAAACTGGTACTATTAGTTGTAACAATAATAATCTTAAGACAATTCACACAGCGCCCTCTAGACCCAAGTTAAGCTAGCTAAAGCTTGTGTCATTGCAAATACAAAGATATTTTTTTATTAAAAAAAAATGTTATGTATAGACAACACCCAGAGAGAAAACAAACAATCATACTCATGAATACAAATGGTTTTGCCGTGGGAGGAATCGAACCCGCGACCATGCTAAACCGGTAAACCACCGAGGCCGTCAATTATGATAGGTATGAATACTTTTAAAATAATATTAAATAATACAAAGTCATAAAAAAGTTTATTTCAATATATACAATAGTTTTACTTAAAATTATTATAGCTAATTCGATTTAATACATTTATTTTAATGAATGGACCAATAGGTCTAAATCTTTCTGTCTAAATATCTAAGTTTATAATTATAGATAGATCGACCTATATTTAGTACAATTCTCAAGGAAAATAATTAATATTAAGAATATACTTGTAAATAATAGATTTTACCAAAACAGTTACAAGTCCAATGTCAAATAATTAATGTAATATAAGCATATACTCATCAGGGATGTTATGGATATGAAATTTCGGATACGGATAGGATTCGGATATAGAACTGATTATTATACCGGATACGGATACGGATGTTAAATTATTTCGGATCATCCGTAAGTTTCGGATATTACTTTTTAAAGAATTTCAAATGCAAAATACAGTTAGCTAATAAAATGGTTACATAACGTGTCTCAATTAGGCTCCGCTCCTATCCGATATTATCCGAAACTTTTATTTCGGATTCGGTTACAAATATATTTTTATTTATGATATCCGATAGTTCCAAAGCATACTATAAAATTGAAGAATTCGTAAACGATAATAATGTTTTTGTAGAAAAAATTTAAATACATAGCACTGACAATATTATCTAATTACACTATGAGTGCGTAGCGATTTCTATGTTGATTATCGCATGCCTCTTACTTGTTACACTGTAATTATTTATATAAAAAAACATCTATTAAAAAGAGCAACACACAAGTTTCTTGCTCATTCTTCTTGTGATGAATCTGCATTCCGAATAAGTGGTAGAATCAAAATATGACTATTCAAAAGTGCTTGTAATGAGTTTATTTGAATAAAGATTATTTCTATTTCTATTTCTATTTCCAGTTACGGTTATGAAGCTCCCTAACATACCTGATAGTATTTACTTACTTTATTTGTTTTAACTAATACTTATTCAATACATAGAGTCCATCCAACTCTTTGTTATATATATGCAGTTATATCACAATATAACTTCAGTAGGCTTTCCTCAGTATTTTATTTATTACCGAGGATAACATTCTGAAATTATATACATATATTAAATTATCTTAATATTTAATTAATTTTCATGAACTATTTAAAATCCCTGCTTCAAGAAATACAAAATATAATAATAATAATAATAAACTCTTTATTGTGCACATAGAAGAAATACAATAAGAAAAAGAAAAACAATAAATAGAAAATTATGAACAAAAGGCAACACACAACAACCGGGGTTGTAACACAGTTACAACCCCGGATCTTCATTTTTTGAGGCGGGGCAAAAATTAAAAACTGTCGCTCCCCTACGGCCAACATTTTTAGAATATTAACAAACAATTTTTTTTTTATTCTTACAAGTATTTAGGGACTTTTATCATAATATGATAATTCCAGTCCCATCGTATATTACTAATCTTATCTTCTACTGCACAATGAAAATAAAAATTTTGCTGGCGATGATACAGGATCAGATAGTATACCCGTGGTACATACCAACATCAAGCCGATTCAGTCCAAATTTTTTCAAAAACAATTCCCTTTTAACAGCGTCTCGGACACACTCCATTAATATGTGATGCAGATCTTCTATAGTATTGCATGTTTCGCAGTTGGGGGAATTCGGTTTATGCATTAAAAAGGCATAAATCGAATTTAATGGATAATGTCCGAAACGCAGCCTTAACAATTAATTTCCTATTGTACTTAATGAAATGAAACCAGGGTACATGAGGAGGCTCACATTGTAAACTTTTATACCAAATACCCCTACTTTTTGACCTTTCATCAAAATAAAAATATATATACACAAATATATACTTTCTAAAAATGATATATCCAATTAATATTGTTGTTAATTATTGTGATATTTTCAAATACATTGAACGCAAATAATTTAGTTGACGTCTCAGTGGTCAAGTTGTCAAAGATGCGTTAATGATGAGTACTGTATTCATCTGCCAAGTTTGAATTTGCCGACCACAGAACTTGCCCCCTGGGGTATGGGCCCTCAGTAGTCATATCCCCTAGATCCGGAGCTGCACAATTAAAGTATTATATGTTGTGATTGATTGAGTAATGCTCAAAAAGTCCTTACTTAAAGTACAAACACTACATCAAGCAATTTAAATAATGGTTAAATAGGAGGTCGGTGAGTATCAGAGTTTTCTAAATTTCATCCCATTTTTAAGTTACTTCTGCGGTTTCGCTCCGTAGTTGCCACTAGATTCAAGATATCTTTTCAAATTGTCAGATGTCGTTTGTAAAATGCTTAATCCAAGCTTGTACTTAAATTCAATAAATCGCTTTAATAAAGATAAAAAACCGCTTTGTTGACTCGCTGGAGGATAGGTTACAATTTCAGGTGTATCTTTAAATTTCTCTGTAGTAACTTCAGTTATTGGTGACAGAGAGGGTTGTATTGTAGATGTCGTTTCCGATTTTGAGTCTGTAGTGGTCTCTGTCATCATATTTCTAAACTGTGTTGTTGTTTCAATAGATGTATCTGATTTTGTCGTTGGATTATTCTTGTCAGTACCATCTGTTAGGGGTGAATACACTTCGTATACTTTAAAACCTTTTGTCGTCGAATCCAATTCATTCGATGCATCTGTTTCTGTTGTAGATTTTTCTGGTTTACTTATCGGTACAGTTGATACGCTTTCGACTCTTTCTATTTTAAAACTTGTTGGTGTATCAGTTGTAGATTTGTCTTCTATTTTCGGACCTTCAGTTGCAGCATAAACTGTGTACACATCTTTTTCATCGGGTTGAATTGTTACAGTACTGTAAGTGGGCTGTGGATCAGATAATTCCTCTAATTTGTTCAAATAATTATAATTATCAAAAATTTCATTACTTATAAAAATATCTTTATGAGAGTTTTTAGCTTCTTTTAATAGCTGTTCAATGGAACCAGTTATACTACTCCTACTGTACGCAGTGTGTCTTCTCCTCCTTCTTAGCTTTCTAGGGCCATGTTCAGGAACTACAGCAGGAGTAGCCGAATCAACAGAATCGACTAATTCCTTAGGCACATTGCCAACTACAAATTTATTATCAATTATTCCACTTTCGTTATTATTATTTTCAGTGTATTTGGTTTGTTCTGTATCTTCACTATTTGATTCCAACTCCATAGACGTTGACGGGTATGTCATATGTTGACCTTCGTAAGGATAGACTGGTCTGAAATTTGATTCATCATTCGGCTTAATGCCATAAACAACGGAGTTTGATATATCGCTTCCGTAAGGATATCCTGCTGATGAAGCAGTTTGGGGTGCAGCGTAAACTGGTTCTACAGAAGGATAAGAAGTAGATGATTTATCAAATGCATATTTGTTTTCTGTTGTGTAAACATTTCTAGTTTCATACTGATGAGGGTTGTAATTTACTGGTTTAGGATATGTAGCTCCATGTGCAATTCCAGTCTTTTGTTGGGGATAACGAACGTTATAGTTAGGTTCGTAATTAGCGGCTACATGGCGATATCTAATGTCTTGTTCTTTTTTCATTGGATACCTGTTATTATGAACAGTTTGGCCGGCATAAGGATTTAATTTTTGCTTAGAATGGGATGGCATACCGGCAAGAACTGTTCCAAGCATTTCTTCTTCAGCTTGTCCATTACCTTCACTTGCGTATTCTTCGTCATTATTCTTGTATAAGTCGTCTTTTTTGTCGACTTCAAAAGTTCTTCTGACTGGTGTAGTAAATGGATAAAAGAAATAACTAGCTATGCCAACTAAGCTAGCAAGACCAATAACTCCTACACCTACTGTTGGCATAACTTCTCTAGATAAATAATTATAGATTTGAGTACTAAGTGGACCACCCTGATTATTCGGTTTCTTTGCGGGTTTAGCAGATTTTGTCTTATTACTTTTTATATCACTTATTTTCGTATCACTTTCAATTTTAGCTGGACTTGGCTTCTTCTTCTTAGTCTTGTTTTTCTTTCTATTAGAACTACGTTTTGGCTTTTTGGTTGTAGTTGCAGGTGTACTGATCTCTAATTCAATTTCTTGTTCCTTTGGTTCCATTGGCAATAGAGCTGAGTCATTATCAATTGGTGCTAATGTAGTGCTAACCTTATGTTTGTTCTTATCTTTCTTTTTAATAGGTTTCGATGTAACTTTCACTACCGGAGTAATTGTAGCTGGAGCTTTAGTAACACTTTCCTTTTTAATAGTTGTAATTTCAGTGGTAGTAGGAATTGTGGTGGTACTTGCTACAGGTGTACGTTGAGTGGAAGGGTTTTTATTTTTCTCCACATTTGATAGTACCGTGTCTTTAATTTTATTGTACACATTTTCATTTATTGCAGAGCCACTAGCTACCAAATCAGACTTATTAGTGCTTCCAATTATCGGGCGTTTTACTGTAGGTTTATTATTCTGAGGGCGTTGCTTGTTTTTATTTTTAGAATTTATTGGTTTCTGTTTCTTTGTGTTTTCTTCCAGCTTTGTAGATTCAGTTGACGAAGTAAGATTGTCTTTACTATTATGATTACTAAGAAGTATCCAAGTAGAAATGCCTTCATTCGAAGTAGACGATTCGCTTATTTTATTTTCTGATTCTAAATCTTCCATAGTCACTGGAACCGCAATACCAGCATGACCATTTTCTATCGATTCTTCTGCATCTTCAATTCTTGTCTTAATCTTTTGCTTGTTGACTGTAACTTGGTTTTTTAATTTTGGTGGTATTCTAGTATCAGTAAGCACTGATTCATCGCTTGTTTTATTGGACGGTTTATCCAATAATTGGTTCGCAACAAGTTTTATCGATTCACCAATTGCTGGGCCTTTAGTCTTGACATCTCTTGCAGAATTTTTCTCCAGGGATGCAGGTGTTGTTACTTCTGTCTTCATAGGCTTCGGTTCATTCGGCAGACTGGAAATCCTGAAATAAAAGAAATGTGTAATTATTAAGACGATCTTGTGAGTCAAGAAGCGGTTAAACTTTAGTGTTGTATTGATCTTTGAAATACATCTTATAAATATTTCATTTAGTTCCAGAATTATCTATGGAGCAATATGAGATGGTATAAACTGATTCATTTCTTCAATTTTTTAACTTTAATTATATTTTTAACTTTAACGATCTGATTACCCATGAGCCGAGTGTGGGGGAGGAATACTGTAACACAGATTCCGTTCCATTCTCTTATATTGTTATAAATTACAAGATCTTTATCGTTAAAAAAAATGTGAATACTAACAATGGAATAGAATAAATAAATATTATTATTATTATTAATTTTAATATATGTTTCTAAAACTGTCATTTAACGAATTTTATGTCTCCATATTCAATAAATAGCAAAAAAATGTTTTAAATATCGTATTTTAACACAATAATTTACAATTAATTTATAAAAAAAAATTACATGACATAAAAACTAAATATGCAATTATTATTTTATTGACTGCTTATTTATTTATAATAGTTTCTAATAGTAGTATTTATTATATAGCTAGTAGTAGGGGTCGTATTTGGTGTAAAAACAACTTCGATAAAATCTACACAAACATACATACAAAATAATAACTATGATCGATCCCCCGTCCAATTCATTAGGAGATCGAAGTGACAATGGTCTGAGCCGAGGTTCGAACCCCTAGCGATGCCCTCAGACTAAAGTTATATCCGTCAGGTGGAAGTTGGGATTCAGCCGCTCCATAAGTCCTTCAGCGGATTTGGAGTGTCATCTGCTGCAATTATCATCCAATGAAGTAAAGTATTTCGTATATTTACGAATTTACTGTAGTTACAGTTCTGTAAAAACTTATCTTTAACGAAACTAAGCTTCAAAGAAACATTTTATTTTAGTAAAAAAAAAATTAAAATAAATTCACAATTGGTCAGTTTTATTATTTTAATATACATATATTTACATAATTGGTAATGAAACAAACATTCTTTAGCAATGATAAATATTATGGTATAATTTATATATGCACAACAATTTAGTTAGTTAATTTATAAACAATATGTTATTTACAATCTATAAATAATAGTAATAATAAATTATTAATATTAATAATTACACTTAAATTTTAACAATAATTTAGTAACAAGCAAATTCACTGTCATTATTGTATATGTATTGTATACCATCTAGATACATGGGAGCGTGTCAAAGCCAAGTTCAAGTAAGAGAACTGGCGACCAGCACCGTGTGTTTTACTATTTGGACCATTTGGAGCCACTTTTTACCTCCTCATAACTCAAAAACTCTTTCACATAAACCTGTCAAATTTGATTGGTCAAGCCTAAGGTCTGACTTGGCTAGTTTTCATATACGAATTATACTATAGCCTTCGCAAGTTTTAAACCTGTTACTTGTTGGTCCCTATTTTATTATTAGTAGCAACTAGCCATCGAAAGTAATTGGTATATGAGAACTAGCCATGTCAGACCTTAGGCTACAATATATTATCCTAAGTTATAAGAAGAAATTATATTTTATATTGTTATAAATAAATTTTAGGACTGACCATTGAACTTGGCACCCATTTAGATCTCAGTTATTTTGTCATTGAAGTCAACAATCAAGGCATACATCATAATATTGAACTTGGCCATCATTTCACATTTATGTTTTTGATGGGATTAATATAACTTATATTTATTATTTAATAAGTCTAAATAGACTGTTGGTAAATTTTATAAGTACTAAAGTAGTAATTCTTCTAGAATGAGATGGACCAGGACAAATTTTAATGCTCAGCCAACCCAGAACATAGTTCTCTGGCGCAAATGTACAGGGAGTTTCGACCTCAGGTAAACTAGGAACATGGGTTGGACAAATAAGAAGAAGAGTAATTCTAGAATTCTAATATTTTTTTTTATTATAAATAAAATCTACTACAGTCTACAAAAAAGTTTTATTATTAATTGCTGGAGATATGTTGCAATTTTTAAATATTGCTATAATTTGAAGAATTTAACATGTGGTGATCCACATTCCACTACGATCCAAGGCTTCTTGTGGATTCTTGTATAAACTGTCAGTATTATATTCATCATCATCATCATCATCGCAGCCCGGAAGACGTCCACTGCTGGACATAGGCCTCCCCCAAAGATCTCCACGACGATCGGTCCTGCGTTGCTCGCATCCAATCCCTCTTCCAGCGATCTTGACCAGATCGTCAGTCCACCTTGCTGGAGGCCTTCCCACGCTGCGTCTTCCGGTCCGTGGTCGCTACTCGAGGACTTTATTGCCCCAACGCCATCTGTACGAGCTAGTAGCAGTATCATATTACTGACAGTTTATACAAGAATCCACAAGAAGGCTTTCCGGAGCCTGTTTTTTTTATGTAATAAGAATAACAAACAAGCTGAAGTCCTACTTGATGATAAGTAATATATTCATGAGCACTAAGTACTGCGGACATCGCGTTATCATCATGCGTTGCCTTTCCGTGGGATATAGTTGTCATATCTCTTATATTGTCAACTTTCTTTCTCACCATACAACCTAATCACAGCTGTTAAGCTACTTGTGACTTAAATAAGTGACAATAAGGTACACTTTACGTTTACTTTTACAATATTATGTTATCTGTGCTTTTACTATTGACAGATATCATAATTTGATAACATATTGAGGTATGCCTTAATTACCTCATATTTATATATTAATTACCTTATATGTAGCCTTATAGATTGAATTTTATAGCATATAAAGATTTCTGGTATTAAAAAGTTTTAGTATTAAGGATTTAGTACTAATGTATTAATATTGTAAAGGTATAAATTTGATTTCTTGTTTATAATGCGTAATATAAAAAATAATAAAAAAAAAATATATAGAAAATGTCAGAAAAATAAATTTATTTGTTGTGACTCGTTTAGTTTTCATGTTACCACAATTTCAAATTTAAGTTAATTGCCTTACCTACCTCATTTAAACCTGTAGCCTTATAGATAGCAGTTTTACGTATACTAAGTTCAGAGAACTTAATTACAACTTAACAATTAGTTAATAATAAGATAGTACTACAGCAGTAGCTAGAAAATTCGATTTTTTGTTTGTAATGACAATAACATTCAACCAATTTAAAAATCCATTTACATACAGAAAGCATATTATCAGGGACCATATCCAATATTTTATACAAAATACTGTCTATGTTACTAGTATTTTGTTATAAAAAAAATTTTGATTCGGCTCTGCCCTAGGCTGTAATTTTCATATAAATTATATGTAACCTACAAACTTGAACAAGTAAAACATACAACATGGGAATCCTGGTTATTAATTATAATATATTTTATAGTATAAAATCATGTGAACTTTGATCAAATGGATCTTGTATTCCTTTTATATAATTAGGAAACATCTCAAAAATTGAATAAGTAAAAGCTTTTATTAAATCTAACATTCACGAGTACATTGTGTATTCATATGTTTTTCTTTCTTCTTTTTTTTTAAATTCACTTACGAACCGCAAATGTAAATCTGAAAAATTTACTAATTGGCTCAACGCACTTCAGAAACAGGAAATCTATTGACATAACGAGTGCTTTGTACTTTCCACCTTCGCAAAAAAAAGACGTAAGTATTTTTTTAATAATTGGCCTTATAAGGAGCGTGGCTTCATCCACTTTTTTTTATACCACAGGGGACAAACGAGCCTGCGGCTCACCTGGAGTAAGTAATTCCCGTCGCTCATGAGCACCCGCAACACCAGGGGAATTGCATTGGGCCTTTCAAAACGGAATAAGCTCTTTTCTTGAACTCGGTTTCAACATGGTATCGGTTCGGAAATATTATTGCTGGAAGATGATTCCATAATTGTTCTGCATGACAAAAAGTTTCTGGACGCAAGGTGGGGCCCCGCCATTCATCTAGATGATCAGGATGTACTTTAATTTACGTATCTTCGTTCCTTACGTATCTGCTTTTACAAAATTGAGAAATGTCTTTGATGTATTTGCTTATTTTTGAGTATGTGATGAAAGATGTATTTTTATTTTTTTTTATACTACGATGGTGGCAAAAACCCCATGCTGTAGTCCAGTGGGAAAACCTCGGCAGGAAGTTCATTCCTTAGTCTAAGTGTACGCGGGAGGAAGCTCCTCTGAAACCGCACTGTTCGGGACCACATAGGTTAATACATATAATTCAGTGTAGTTATTTTTTATTGTAGTCTGATTATCACAAATAGTAAAGAAAATTTGTTTGTTTGTGTAATATATTGGCATGTAATGGAACGTGAGCTGGTATTGGCGTCATTGTCATCTAACGGTCAATCATTTATAGAGATATAGAGTGTAATAGACGTAACAAACATAAAATCTATGTTTTCCTCATTAATCAATTGTTTTATTGAAATATTACAGATTGTTTGTCACACTTTTACGTCTAAATCGCTGATTAATTTTGGTATACAGATGGTTATATAGATAGGAACTGGCAAGTTCGTAATTTTACTTTTAAAGTTTTATTGCGTCGTATCCTTCGAACTTTATTGGAAGATTGATTTTAATAATTAATCAACAGAAGCAACACTATCATAAACGAAGCCATAGACCAAATCAATCGAGTATATAAGATTAATTACATACGGCTCTGATGATTCTTACAAATGAAACTCTACACTCTTGCTGACCCATTACACTCAGAAAGGGTGCTGCTTGTAGGGACTGGTCTGCCCTGATTACTATGTCTGATTTATTTTGTTAATCAAGTTTATCGTACTTGCTACTTGGCAGTTTGTAGTCACAAAATCCCAAATATATACTTTACAATGTTTATTTAATAGAGCAACACGCAAATTTATTTCTCGTTCTTCTTGCGATGAGTCTGCAATGGGCAGTAGAATAAAAATATATTATCTGACTAAAACAATTTATTTGAATAAAGGTTATTTCTATTGCTTAGTAAAAGTATGAGTGTATAGACTATTTCATAAGCGCTATTTAAAAAAAAGGCGTTTATAAATCTAATCCCTTTCAGGTACTTATATTAATATCTATACACATTAAATAACTTATATATTTTTTATTGCACTTCAATACATAGTAACAATTATAAAGAGAGAATGAAAGGATTTCAGTTGATAATTTTTACTCATATTTAATTCTCTTTTGTCTCTTCTTTAATGTTTTCTCTCTATATAATAATAATAGGTGTTTTCTAAAAATAAAGGATGACTTGTTTTTATTCTTACAGATATTTTAAATGTAGATATTTTACTTTATTCTGATTGTCCACGTTTCCCTTTTTTTACGTTTATTCTTACGATAATTTATATTGGCCTTTTTATTTCTCGACCTATCTGTCAGCACTCGAATAGTGGCTTTCATCAATTCTTTTATTTTGTAAAACAATGTCGGCTGCACCGAATTGGTTTCATTTTCGTTCTCTCTGTTATTCCGAGAATATCGGTGTACCCAAATTCTGTCGCTTGCATCGGTATGCAAATTCCATGTTTTCAATTCATTGTCCCAATACCAATGCGGACGATACACATGTTCGATTTTATTCGCTTCTCTCCCAGAAAATGCCCAAGGTGCAAATAATGCAGCCACCCCAGATGTCCCAGCAAATATAAACATTACTGGTGACAACAGTATCGAAAACAATCCAAAAGTAAAGGGATTTATTGTTGCTAACCAATTCAAAGCACTAAGAGCAGGTTTAAAAAATTGGAGCACAGAAGAAAAAGGACTGAAAATATCGTCCTCGTCAAAACTTGGTTTCCCCGGCTTATGTATAGCAGCTGCATGATTAGAACTTGAACCAACTGGTTCTGACAAGTCTGATTGATCTACAAGATCAGAATTATAATTGGTTAATTCTTGTCCTTCAATAGATGAACTTTCCGTTTGCTCCTGATTTTCATCAGAATCATACGTAGTATGTTCTTCTTCGTCACCAGATTCATCCCCGAAGGGAATATCAAATCCACCTGGAAATATAGCATCTCCTTCCTCTTCAGATTCAATGACAACATTTTTATTTATTACATTTGTATTTACTGCAATATTTAAATCTGGACAGGCTTCCTTTGCTTGCCCTTGAAATGTATTATTTAACGTGAGAAATATAGTAGGACATTCGTCTGGTGAAGCACTATACTCTTCTGGTCTGATTACAATTCTATCAGTGTAAGCATTTGTCGGTTGGAAAGTAGAAACTTCGAAATTACTATCATCATAATTTGAGTAAGTATGGTATGGGTTATTTTGATGTTTTATAGGTTTTTTAACGGGTTTAACGGGCTTTTGAGTTGTTACTATGTTGTGATGATGGGAATGAAAATTATTATTTGGTCTATTCCATGGTTTAGGGTTACCTATATTGGTGATAATAGGAGTTGGTGTGGGTGTTGGAAATACATATGTTGGTCTTATGTTACTGCTATATGTAGGAGAAGCAAAAGTTGTAGGAAATTGATAGGGAGACATAGTAGTAGTTTGAAAATATCTATCAGTTACATAAATGTTATCAGAGTAAATATGTACCTCATTATGTTGGGGCTTAGGTTTATTCTTTTTATAAATTATGTTATATAATTTTTTAACGTCTTGCAGTTGAAATATCTTTTCAGACACCTCAGTTGATTGATCGTTTGTAAAATCATTATTTTCTTCAGAAGTTGTAGTTTCATAACTGAACGCTAAACCGTCTATTTTAGCGTTGTCTGTCCACTTTGTTATAACTTTTCTAATTGGTGACTTTTTGCTACCATAAGAATCTATATTATTTTGTGGACCTATTTTATGTGTTTCTTTATTACCTTTCTTATTACTAATTCTAGGGTCATTTGTATAAATAGCTGAGACTAAACGATTTCTCCTAGACTTGTTAGTTGTTAATTCAATTATACTCGTATAATGCAAAAACGAATTATCATTAACATTTTCAGTTGTACTTTCATTAGGTTTCAAATATCTATTAACTACATTATTACTACTTTGCATAAATTGTGCTTGACTAGTGACCACAGGCGTATGGTTGGCTGAACTTAAACTTTTATCATTATTATACCTGTACCTTATTGGGTTCTCTGTTGGCTTATCTTTTTCAACACTACTAATAGAACTACTGACAATAGGAGCTTGTGAGAGCACTTCTTGAGGTCGCGAGCATACAAACGGACAGAATATAACTACAATTAAAGCTAAAGTCCACTTTGTAAACACACTTTTCCGCCGCGCCATGTTGTATAACACGGAATCGATCTGCAACAAAAAATATAAATATATCAGCAAATGTGCAAAATAACTTAAAGCATGTAGTTATACAATATAATATGTACCTAATACTTTCACTCGGAAAGGAAGACTTTTTAATACAGATAAAAATATCAATGCGCTGGTGATATCAATAAATCTCTTATTAGATATACGAGAGAGAATATTAGATGACGATCAATTGGGTAATCCATTTGAAATTTGTATTAAATTCGATTGATATAAAATATAAATGAATTCTACGTATTACAGACCTAGTACCATACTGGATTAACTCAAAATATTTTAATCTCTGAAATTAGTCTTTAAAGCTAGGATTTCAGAGTGGATTTTCCAAAGTCTATAATTTTTGGGTTAAACCAGTATTGGAATACTGGTTTAACTCAAAAACAAGGTATCCGATATTTATAATAGCACCTTAAATTACTTTAAAAGTATATAAACAACTTCTTGAATTGATAACGTCAAAATATAACCTGCATATAGGTGTAACCTACGTATAAAATTATATAAATAAAATTAAACTTAAAATACAAATCTTTACAAATATATAATATTACAAATGCGTAAATAACTCTGTTTGACAGTTTGTTGCGATTTCACGCCGACACTACTGAATTTATTTAAATGAAATCTGCTACATAGATAGTTTAGACCCTAAGAAAGGACATAGGCTACTTTTTAGCGCAAAAGGGTTGTAAGGGGTTGAAAGCGGAGACGAAAGGTTGTATGAAAATATCATCATTTTTTAAGTAGAACGATGAAACTTTTTTGGGTTATAATCTAACTAAATATATTTTCTTTATTTGGTCATGGTCACTATTCTACGTGGATCTACACATATAAATAAAATTGGAGTGTCTGTTTGTAATATTGAAATAACCGTTTTTTCATACCAAAATATCATTTTTTACAATTTTTGTCTCTATGTCTGTCTGTTTGTTTCGGTTAATCTTTGAAATGGCTGGACCGATTTTGACTAGACTTTTTTATGCAGGTTACTGGTACCTAGGCTATTTTTCTTTTAGAAAAAATATTTTATTTTATAAAAACAAATTTAAATTCCACGCGGACGAAGTCGCGTGCACAGTTAATAGTAATAAATAATTTTACTTTTACTCCAAAATATCCCAACGAGGGTTGTAATTAAAAAGAGCTAGCTGATAGTCCATCACAAACAACTTTAACCGGTAGAGCATTGATCGAGTTAAAAGTCCGTTAGTCCATCGTTAACCTCACATGTGAAGCGAGGAGACCGTTACTAAACTTGATTTCATTGGATTCACATGAGGAAGCTATAATTTTAAGGATCTGACCGTTTATTTTTTTATAAATGTGACAAGAAATGTTTTCCTCATCTAAATCACCATATAATAATAATAATAAAAACTCTTTATTGTGTATAAAAAAAGAACAAATAATTATAGAAAAGAAAGAAAGAAAAATATGCGAACAAAAGGTAGCCTTATCGATCAAAGTGATCTCTTACAGGGGTTTGCCATGCCCAAATTTCACCCCCTAAGAGATGGATGACTTATATTAGATCATGAAATCTAAGACCCCTTCCAACCTCTAGGAGGTTAGGTTAGGTCTTAGATTTTGTTACCTGGGAGATAAAAGTATTGGTGCAGTTGGTAAGTATTAGTGCGCCTACCTTTCCCTCACAAAAGGTAGGCCGCACTATAAAAAGAGAGTTAAATATTATATGAATACTAGATTCATATACATACAAATACTAAAGGTATATGTATAAATAATATACACATACATAAATAAAATATATAAAAAAATACTTGTATGACGAAACAAAACCTTAGTGAGGAAACCATTTCTTCAAACTCAAAATCAAATCAAAATATCTTTATTCATGCAGATAACGTAAAGTCGGTAGTAATGTGTTTATGACAGTTTTTTTAATGGAATGGTTAACCCGTCTGAGCTAAAGGTTCACGATGGCGGGGCTCCAGTAGAGGATGATGAGATGAAGACGAGGTCAGATCAGTTAGCCCATCGTGACGAATTCACTAGGAATTTATCATGATGGTTTCTAGGGAAACCGAGTGTAAGTCAACCCGACAAGGTACACTGCTAGCAAATGGTGTCACCAGTCCACATTACTAACAACCCTCTTCGGAAGGGGATTGTTAGTAATTAATAACCCCATTGCTAGCAATGTACCATGTCCAACCACCGTGTTAAATTCCTGGTGAATTTGTCACGATGTGCTAACTGACCTGGCCTCATGCTCATCTTATCATCCTCCACTGGTGCCCCGCCAGTGTAAACCGTCAGCGCAGGCGGGTGCACCATTCCATTATCATCCACAAAAAAATACCATTATTACCAAATGTCTGTTGCTTGCTTGTTGCTATTACCATTGCATAAAAAAAACTAAGAAAACGTGTTAAACATACTGATTTAAAATAAAAAACAAAGAAATACACTGTGAGTCATTTAGGAAAGCGTAAATATTTTTGTCTTACTACTTTTGCCCATTATGGTTTATGACTGTAACCACAGTATGCATATTAAAGTGTAATAAAAACGTGCAAGAAATTGTTAGTATCTGTATAAATAATAACATTAACAGATTCTTATATTAAAAAGAAAGAATTAAATGTATCTGTTGAACAAAGGAAATCGAAGTGAAATAAATTTTAACTCTTAATAACCTCCCAAGACAATTTACACAGTACCATCTAGTTCCAAGCTAAGTAATATTAAATTACTATATTTTGTGTTGTAGATACTAAATAACTGACAGATATACTTTTTTTGCACATAACATATATAAAATACCAGACTACTACCAACTATCATACCAAAATAATATAAATACAAATGTACTACACTGTTCGAGGAATTGAACCCCCGATCTTTGGAGTTGTTGTGCTAAACCGCTATACCATCGACCGTGAATTACGCGTAACATTGTAAATGTTAATAACCTAGTTAGGGGCTATACATAAATTGCGTCACATTTTAAAGGAAGGGGGTAGACAAGTGTGACATTGTTTAACAATGAGGTATAGTAAATAATGACAGAGGGAGTCAAAGTAGCTTTTAGTAATGTAAGTCCCATCTAAAATACCATTACTGTACTATTGAAAGTGATTAATGAATTTTTTTTTATTTATTTACTTCAGCGACCAACAAGGCAGATAGTAGACAAGTGTGACATTGTTTAACAATGAGGTATAGTAAATAATGACAGAGGGAGTCAAAGTAGTTTAAGCAATGTAAGTGTCATCCTTGAAGAATAAAAAAAAGTCACAAAAAATCTACAAAAAATAGGTAAATGAACAAATCCCCAAGTTGGTTCTAGATTTTCAGTTAAGCTATATTTTGTACATCCCTTTTAATATTGTCTAATATTGTTTTTTGTTCCTAGCTTTAAGTTAGTACTTATTATCTGTCTATTATTATTACTATATACACCAAGCTGGCGGTGTTTTCGGAGAAAAATTAAATGTAAATACTTGACGCAAAAGGGTTTGCCAAAATGTCGTAAATGAATAAATGATTTTTGAATTTTAATTTGAATATGAACTCAAAGAGCCCTTCCAACCTCCAGGAGGTTAGGTTAGGTTAGGTCTTAGATTTTGTTACCTAGGCAAAAGGGTTCGCCATGAGGCCGCAACTTTCCCCCTAAGAGATGGATGAAATCTAAGACCCCTTCCAACCTCTAGGAGGTTAGGTTAGGTTAGGTCTTAGATTTTGTGAAATCACATTTCAATATTAGTCTTAAAACACGAATTATTAAAATGTGACCAATTGTGACAGAGAAGGTTTACTAAACATTGGTGTGACTTTATTTGTGGGTTGTAACCCATATCCCCTTCAAAGGATCTTGTACATGATTACAAAATATAGATTCATTTTCAAACTCAAATTAAGAACAACAGTGTGACCACCTTAGCATATGCTATTGCAATATTGGCAAAAAAAAATAGTGTAGTGGCCGTAATCCATATATCCTTACAAAGGAGCTTGTACATGATTACAAAATATAGATTCATTTTCAAACTCAAATTAAGAACAACAGTGTGACCACCAGAGCATATGCTATTGCAATTTTATCAAAAAGAAATAGTGGAGTGGCCGTAACCCATATCCTCTTACATGCTATTTTAGCTTTAGCTTGTACATGATATTTAATACAAAATCATTTCTAAATTAAATTAGAGAGAATATCACCAGCATATGTTATTGCAATTTTTATCAAAAGGAAATAATTGTATCAATGGCCGTAATCAAAACAGACAGATCTGGTGCACTCCATCAATAGAATACTCTCTCTCTAACACAGATTAATATAAGACCGAGGAATTTCAAGAGCCGTGTCTACGAATACGTTCTACATTGAATTTCTATAAACAATGAAATCAAAACAATCCTTTCATACGGTAAGTCGGTTGTGACACAAAAATATGTTGTCTATGGTGAAGTGTGTCAAACGGCGTATACGGAACCGTGACACAACGGGACTTTGGTAGGTTCGTACAATCATGCGACATACTTTTGGACAAAATATAATGATTCATTTTCAAACTCAAATTAAATAGAACAATCTTTATTCAAATAACCATTACAAGCACTTTTGAATAGTCATATTTTGATTCTACCATTTTCGGAATGCAGATTCATCAAAAAAATAATGGTGTGTTGCTCTTTTTAATAGATGTTTTTTTTTATATAAATAATTACAGTATAACAAGTAAGAGGCATGATAATCAACATAATACACGCATTATTATTAATGTAATCAGATAATATTGTCAGTGCTATAGATTTAAAGTTTTTCTATAAAAACATTATTATCGTTAACGAATTCTATTTTCTATTCTATTCTAATTTATCTATACATATAAATAAAATTGTGAGTGTCTGCTTGTAATATTCAAATAACTGGAAATGTCCTTATAGTCTTAATAAATGATCTATCATTTACTATAAGCCGAGTATAATCTAGATATATAATACATATG